ATTTATTTATTTATTTATTTATTTATTTATTTATTTATTTATTTATTTATTTAATAGGAAAGTGTTAAATCTCGATCCACATTCCTTACCAGTAGGTGGCGGTAATGCGCCTGTAAGATGTTTGTCAAACCGCCATAAAACAAGACGAAGAAGAAGAATAAGATGACGACGAACCACACTCCATACCAGCAGCTGGCGGTAATGCTGCTTAAAGTTTGTTGCAAACCGCCAATAAAATCAAGAAGAAGAAGAAGAAGAAGAAGAAGAAGAAGAAGAATAATGACAAGCACGCTAAGAAAGAAGATTTGAATTCTCTAAGAAGGCTGTTGTGTTAGAAGGTAAACAGCATATAGAACAAATATTCTGGCTATATTACATTTAAAAAATATGTCTATGCATATCTATATAAGGTGTAGGATACGCTGACTGCTTTGTCAAGTGTGGCGTTTTCTGTGTTAGCATGGCCGAAAGAGCAAGCTAATTCCTAGCTGTCAGCTGCCCCAAGTCTGTTCTGACTTTACAAATAAGATTAATAAAAGTATGTAATTCAGAGTTATTTTAATGTCAAAGTATTTTTACAAGGTTTGTGTTTGGAAAATTTAACGTAAGTTTGCAACTTAATGTCACTTCAGACAAATTATTCCGGTGAGTCATTTGATAACATTTAAACATACGTTATAAAAATACTTTTAACTTGTCTCTTTTCTTCTTCTCACTTTATTTCCCTGTTATTTTTCTTGAAAAGATTTCTAATTATGGTGAAGATTTTTGTGGGAAATTTGCCCCGAGAGGCAGAAGAGGACGAAATCAAGGCACTTTTCTCTGAGTATGGCACAGTCACGGAGTGTGCCATCATCAAAAACTTTGCCTTTGTCCATATGGACGATCGCAAAGCCGCCACTAAAGCCATCAAGAGTCTGCATCTGCACAAACTTCACGGCACACAGATCAACGTGGAGGCCAGCCACGGGAAGAACCAAGGCTCCGTCAAGCTTCATGTCGCAAATGTAGAAAAGGGATGTGATGACGAGCTCCGTGCTCTATTTGAAGAGTATGGTACTGTCACAGAGTGCGCTGTGGTTAAGAATTTTGCCTTCGTACATATGCCAAACTATGACGAGGCCATGGATGCCATCCAAGGACTGGATAACACAGAGTTTCAAGGTAAGAGTACTGCTATGTGAAAAGGGAAAGAAGGACATATAGAAGAGTTTTTATTCAGCCTCATCAACTATTGTTTTTCAATGTTTTTCATTTATTGTAGACAAACGGATCCATGTCCAGATTTCCAAGAGTCGTCCGAGGCTCGATGAACGAGATGATTATCCCCCACCTCCACCAGACAGGGGCAGCTTCTGGCCTCCGCACTATCCAGTAGAGCGACATGATCCACCTCCGCCCAGCTACATGAGAGGCAGAATGATGCCCCCAGGTTACCCAGTGCCTCCTCTACCACCCCCTCCCCCCAGACGAGCTAATTACCCAGACCGTCCCTATGAGGGTGACAGTGACAGATATGGCATGGTAGATTATTATGAGAAGTACAGAGCCCGTCCATATGGTATACCCCCCTTTGAGGACCAACGCTCTGGTATCCCACCTCCTCCCCCTCCATCGTCTGCCGTCGTCCGAGAACGTCTAATGAGCTCGTCGCTTGACCCTTATGAGCGTCGTCCGCTTCCACCTCCTCCCCCGCCGTCATCGTACTACGCCCGAGATCGCAGCCCTATCAGGAGGGTGCCTAGTGCACCAATACTACCTGCTAATAATGGCTACAGCTATGAGCATTCTGCATACGGAGTTCCACGTGCAAGAGACCCTTATGCAGACCGGCTGCCTCCGCCCCCGCCTGCACGCTACGCTTATTAGGCGAGACGTCAGCTATTGAAGGTGAGGATGGCCCTGAGATAGACTGGTTTTGATATCTTTCGTTAAATTTCCCTCCGCCCCTCAAAAAAGCTGAAATGGCTTGTGATTTTTTTGGCATGCTCAAGATCTTGTGGAGTAAAGAAGGCTTAAAAAGTCTGCGTCCAATCTTCTAATGTCGTTTTAATGCACGTTATCAAATTAATATAGAATATCAGAACAGTGTAATATCATCCGTCAAAAATTAACCAACCTGTCAGGGATCTCAAACTTAAAAGAACGTCCTCAATGCAGAGCTTTTGGGAGAAAAAAGTTTGGTGGAACAACGTGCTGTTACGTAAAGCTGCAGGTAGTTCACTTGTGCCATTTGCTCTTTTTTCAGGATTGTTGTCCGACTGCGTTACGCCACGCCGCCTCCTGATGCACATGACTCTGTCCTTCTCATATGGCTGAGCGCGTTACGTTCCTCTGCGACACTCACAAGAGGAATCAAATTGCAGACGTCAATGTTTATGTCTTATTATGATTTTAGGACTATTTTTAGACTTATTTCCCCTCCTGGCTGTTTTAGTCTGTTGTTGTGCTCTCGCAATTTTCTTTATTGACGTAATATTTTTGCAGATTTTTTTTCCCGTTTTTAATAATCTTAATGTTTCTAAGGTGACCTCGTAGTTCTCATGTAATCCTTGGAAAGCTAAATCATATCAGCAGTGTTTTCAAGGCGGAAAGTGTTTTTATATGCAATTTAACATGCACGTTGGTTCCATCCTGTAGAAGTTTCCCATTGAATGTCAAACCTATATCGTGTTGTACAAGTAAGCTTTTAAGATAAGTAAGGTTTAGAGTGTGACTTGTTAACTAGGCAGTTAATGCAAAGCACTTTCACTGTCAAATACTAATTTTATTCAAGTAGATTAGTCCAGTAAATGGTAAATTTGATCAAAATGCTCATCGTTAGATCACATAACTTTAAACGCTTGAAACCATTTCAAATGCTCTTTCACAAATTTTCATTAGCTAGTTTAAAATGCTTGTCTAAACAGTAACACTAATTTAAGAACTCCAAAAATCAGCGGCCCCCACATAACTTGAACCCGAAAAACCAAAATTGAAGCGCTTTCGTCTCATAATTTAAAGATTACCGCTGTACTCAACCGAAGTAGTTTGCATAGCTGAGTTGAGCTTTTAATGAGCTGGGGGAGGGGATGACATCAAGGGCTGATGGTGACCTTCACAGTGAACAGGTAAGTCAAGGAACAATTGGAGAAAACATTGTTGTTATTTGGCTGTTAATGGAGACTGACAGTAATTTTAGAGACTTGCTAATAAAAATGGGAATTCTGTCATTGGTGTTGGCTATTGAGCTAAATTCTCCTGCTGTTCAGCAGTTATCTTATACTTAAGATGTTCCACTGTATATGGACAGGTGACAAAGAAAAAAAGAAGTTTAATGTTTGGAGATGCAGGGTGAGTAGATCGGTTGTACAGCAGTAGGGTACTGATACAAAGTACCTAAGAGATTTCACTGAGGCTTTGGCTTGTGGATAGACCAGAAACAGCTTTGACCTCTGCATTTATGAAAGCTTAAATTACAGCAATAAATTAGATCAAATACAATTACAGATTACACTTTTATTCTAGACTTAGTAAAACATTTTATAAACTCAGTTTTTATAAGTGAATGAGCACAGTGCAATTTACACTACTGGAAAACAAGGACATTCACACTGAATAGATGAGGTGATGTTTTAGTAAGATGCTATCAGATATTTGTTGTACTTGTCACTCTAAGCTTGGAGTACACTGATTATTGGCTTTCTGAAAGTAGAGCAGAAAAATAAATATACTGATCAAGTAAAAGATCAATCTTAGCGCTAACCCTCAAGAAAGTATTTGTTCCATCATGATCGGGGTGAAAATGTTTTTGATAAGCATAAATAAAAGCTAACTTTACAGTGCCCTCCACAATTATTGGCACCCCTGTTTATGAAGTGGTTGAGGAATTCTAAAAATTCTTTTTTTTTTTAAAAACAACATGGAACCCAGATGAAAAAAAAAGAGAAAGGTCCAACCTTTAGAACATTTAGAAAATAAAAAACGTGAAATCATGTATCCCACATTGGTACCCCTGATGTTAATACTTAGTACAACCCACTTTTGCCAACAAGACAGCACTTAATCTCCTCCTATAACATTTCACAAGATTGGAGAACATTTGGAGATTGGAGAGGGATTTTTGACCATTCTTCTTTGCACAATCTTTGTAAATAATCCTCTACACTGTCCTCTTTAGCTCGACCCACAGGTTTTCGATTGGGTAGAGGCCTGGGGACTGAGATGGCCATGGAAGGGCCTTGAGTTTGTGACTGATGAACCATTTTTGTGTAGATTTTGCCACATATTTTGGATCATTGTCCTGATGAAAGACCCAATGACGACCCATCTTCAGCTTTCTGGCAGAGGCCATCAGGTTTTTATTTAAAATGTCCTGGTATTTCAAAGTATTCAGCTGTGCACCATAACAAGGTTCCTAGGGCCTTTGGAAGAGAAAAAGGCACAGCATCACAGATCCTGCACCATACTTCACGGGGGTCATGGGGTGCTTTTCGGCACACTCGTCTTTTGTTTTGCCAGACCCACTTAGTGTTTGTTGCCAAAAGCTCAATCTTGGTCTCATCTGACAAAAGCACACGATCCCAGTTGAAGTCCTAGTGCCACTTAGCAAACTCAAGACGTTTACGTTTGTGAATGTTAGTTAGAAAAGGCTTTTCCCCTGCATGCCTCCCTAAGAGCACGTTGGCATGTAGAGAGCGTCTGATGGTTATTTTGGAGACGTTGTGACCCCAAGAATTCACTCTTTGATGCAATTCTGTGACAGTGACCTTAGGACTTGTTTTTACTTCTTTTACCATCCTCCTCACTGTGCATTGTGGCAAGATAAACTTGGGACCTCTTTCAGCCTTGTTTTTCACTGTTCAAGTTGTTTTAAACCTCTTAATGATTAATCTGACTGTAAATAGGGGCAAGTTAAGGCAAGTGGCTATTTTCTTGTAGCCATTGCCTGACTTATGAAGGTCGACATACTTACTTGAATGGTGTGTTCTCTTGTCTTTGCCATGTTGACAAATGGCTAAGAGAATCAGGCCTCTGTGTCACGTCATATTTATACCCCAGGGAAAACAGGAAGTCATGAATAACTCACTAATGAAAAGTTTTGAGATACCCTGACCAACTTTAGCAACTAAACAAAAAATATTTAAAAGAAATCAATTACATTTTTCTGCATAACTGTTCGGGGTGCCAATAATTGTGGGACAGATGATTTCACGTTTTTTATTTTCTAAATGTGTGATTTTATTTTTACCACCAAAGTAATGGACTTAAATAAAGGGTTGGATTTGTCTCTTTTTTACATTTGGATTCTATGTTGTTTTTTTAAAAAATGAGAATTTTAAGAAGTCCTCAACCACATATTAAACAGGGGTGCCAATAATTGTTGAGGGCACTGTATCAACAGCAGCAGTAATTAGCAGAAGTCATTTTTACTACTGACATTATGAACACTTGCAAAAAATAACTGAAATTTCACCAGTGTTATTCGTTCAAATTGTTTTGAAATTTCAGTCTGTTTGGAAAAGAAATAAAACACAGATGCATTTTTAATAGTATTGAAATAGGCTGCCCTCATTAAATCATCTTTAATTACATGACTAAATAAGTCATTCTTTGAGGTTAAGACCAAGTCTGTAACTGGAGTTAGCTGCTCGGATGACTGAAAGAAAATTGGCCATACAGTTATATTTAACCACCACATAGCTCCATGTAAAGAAAAATAGTAACAAGAATAGTATTTAATGAGAAATTAGAGCTTACTGAGTATTAATTAAAAATAATTATCACAACAAAGGCTAAATCACAGTGATGTAGCAACATGAAATCTCAAAGTTACCTATCTTTGTAAAGTATTGACCCTTTTGGATTTAGGAAAATTGCATTTCATAGAAAGAGAGCTTTGCCTCTGGGTTTCACAGTGTTACCTTCTTAGTGATTAATGACCATTGTGCCACAATTCTGAATACTTATTTTAGTCTAAACAAAACACCGTCGTTCAATGGGTCAACCAAAGCCAGATAACAAGGCTGATATCTGTTTTTTCTAAGAATATTTGGTGATTTATGATTTGGAAAGTAAATCATTAGGTGGCTGAAAGCTGAAACCTGTGGAATTAATTAACGTCTGCACTGATTACAGCCTTCTAAGTGTATCAAAAATGGTTACCTAAGGGAAAGACAGAAATGATTTTTTGTATAGATTTGTGGACAAGATTTATCTTGAGTTTTTTGGCAAAATTATGTTTCCAGTCCTAAGTGTCTTTTTAACTAGGGAAATGACAAGAGTTGTTAAAATCTAATTGAAACTTGAACAGTATAGTTCAGTCGTGTTTTTGGGAACATCTCACATTATCATCCTCTATTAAGTCTTTTTTCCTACTCACTTATGTTGTACTGTTGCTTGGATTGGTTGTTTTCTTCAACAAGAAAATGGCACAAATTGACCATAATGATATTTGACACTTGTTCAACGGTTATGTCGATATGGAAATTTTTGAAGGTTTAGTTCAATAAAGTCCCTGAGCAGTGTAGCTGGCACTGTTATGTTAAAGCCTCTAGTTGAACTGTCACTTATTCACTGTCACTTATAATTTGGGAAATCTGGTTTTACAAAAGCTTTTACCAGCTTTTCGTAACCCAAACATTACAATAACATTTTGGTATTTTCCTTAACTTAATTCAAAGCACTGCTAAAAACCATAAGCAGAATTTATCATTTAGAAAAATTAAGATAGGGGACATTTTTTATATAGCATGCCAGTGTTTTGTAGTTGTAAGTATTTTAAGTGGTTTTATATCATGAAATCTACACTTGAATTTGCAATGCTAAAATATGCATTGGTTTTATGTATTTTTTTAAATATACAAAGACATTTATATACTACAGGTAAATACTTTTCACCAAAAGTGTTATAAAGATATTACCTAATATATTGCAGATAAAGATATTCTGTACTTCTTTAGATTGTGGGTTGAATAAATGAAATATTCAAAGCAAAATAATGGACTTGTTTAACAACATATCTTTCAAGTTAGATCTACATTGGCAAAAAAAACATACAGGGAGCTGTCAGTTGACTCTAATAATCAGTCAATAAGTGGCCCTTTAAAAAAGAAATGGAAAAAAGTAAATTGTATGAGGAACGATTACATTCAAAATTTGTTCATCAACTTCTATTGGGAAACTATTTAACTGCAGCATAGATGAATGGATGGCAGTCATAATTCCTTTAAACATATTCCAAAGAAGGACAGTGGGGCTAAAAAAAGCCTCTGCAAATACTTGGATCTTTTCAAACTGTCCTTATAGATAGCGAGCCTATAGGTTTAAAATACAACAACACACACACAGGAAAAGTAGTAAAGCATCTATGGAAATCGTATGAGGGCTCCTTAATTTATTTTCTTCTTTTTTATAAGTAGTAGAAAAATAAAACAGGGAATTGAGTAGGCCTTTTTCTGCCTGAATGTAGCAAGTCGCAGGCCACAATCATATATGTAGATAATATGTATAATTGTAGCCTGTGACATGTATTTGACTATTATGAAATAGTTCCATTTATATATTTATTGTATCAAGCCAAGATATCTGATGAGATCAATTGGGATTGCACGCTATGCAATAAACAAATATACATTGGAAAATAGGAAAAAATAGGAAACAGCGTTTTTCATCCCTGGTCACTGTACCTAAACCAAGAGAAAAGTCCCCAAAGAATTGTGAAGACGAGAGAAATAGCTGCAAACTGTTTGACAAAGTTTGATCTAATTTACGCTCTGCATGTTTTTTTTTTTAGAACTTTGTTTTCATCGTGCCTGTCCTCCTGTCCAGTGGGTGGTGTTGTAGTTGCCCAGACAAAAAGCCAGACAAAGAAGAACGAGCGGCGCCGGCGTAGCTGTCGACAAACCAAACGGAAATCGATAGAAGGAAACCTTTAGATCGGGATAAAAAGTTTTCCTCGTGGTCAGCTGGTAAGAAGGTAGAAATAAAACGCCAGTTAACGTTACTTGATACGTTTATTAGTCATTTTAACCTTTATATATTATGTGACTTCGAGTGATCTTTCGTCTTTGAAGGAAGCTCAGTGTTAGCGCTTTGTTGTGACTTGCAGGGTGCTAACCAAAGCTTACAGTTGCTTATATAAAATGATCAAAATCCATGACTTGACTATTCTAATACAGTTCTTCGCTCTACAAATGTAGCTTTGAGGACGATTACGTTTTTTATTTTCAAATATTAATTTTGTCAAAACTGTTTAATTCTAGCCTTTAAGCTAATGCATTGTAGCAAAGACAAGCTAAATTCTAGACTTATTACTCTCATAAAACAATATATAAGCTGAAACTCTTCAGAATGTAAACTATATTGTTTTTCATAGCCACTTAACTTATTTTTAAAAACAACTTTTTTTCTTTGTATTTCTTTAAAGCAGATCCCAATAATGGTGAAGATTTTTGTGGGAAATCTGCCCCGAGAAGCAGAGGAGGACGAAATCAAGTCACTCTTCACAGAGTATGGTACGGTCACTGAATGCGCCATCATCAAAAATTTTGCCTTTGTCCATATGGACGATCGCAAAGCCGCCACTAAAGCCATCAAGAGTCTGCATCTGCACAAACTTCACGGCACACAGATCAACGTTGAGGCCAGCCACGGGAAGAACCAGGGCTCCGTCAAGCTTCATGTCGCAAATGTAGAAAAGGGATGTGATGACGAGCTCCGTGCTCTATTTGAAGAGTATGGTACCGTCACAGAGTGCGCTGTGGTTAAGAATTTTGCTTTTGTACATATGCCCAACTATGACGAGGCCATGGATGCCATCAAAGGACTGGACAACACAGAGTTTCAAGGTAAGAGTACTGCTATGTGAAAAGGGAAATAAGGACACATACAAGAGTTTTTATTCAGCCTCATCAAATATTAAATTATCAACTGTATGTTTTTCATTTATTGTAGACAAACGGATCCATGTCCAGATTTCCAAGAGTCGTCCAAGGCACGATGAACGAGACGATTATCCCCCACCTCCACCTGATATGGGCAGCTACTGGCCTCCACATTATCCAGGAGAGCGACACGAGCCTCCTCCATCCAGTTACATGAGGGGCCGAATGATGCCCCCAGGTTACCCCGCCCCTCCTCTACCACCACCCCCCCCGAGACGAGCTGTTTACCCCGACCGCCCCTATGAGGGTGACAGGGACAGATACAGTGTGTTAGATTATTATGAGAAGTACAGAGCCCGTTCGTATGGCATGCCTCCCTACGAGGACCAACGTTCAGGTATCCCACCCCCTCCCCCTCCACCTTCTGCGATCGCGAGGGCTCATTCTATGAGCTCAACCCTTGACCCTTATGAGCGTCGTCCTCTTCCACCTCCTCCCCCTCCGTCATCGTACTATGCTCGAGATCGCAGCCCCCTTAGAAGGGCACCTAGCGCACCAGTGCCCCCTGCCAGTAATGGCTACACCTATGAGCGTTCTCGACTCTCTCCGGTTTCCCAAATCCCTTCATATGAAATTCCCCATGCAAGGGACCCCTACGCTGACCGACTGCCTCCGCCACCTGCACGCTACGCTTATTAAGATAGACATCCGCTTCTGAAGGTGAGCATAGGTGCGAGTTTAACTGGTGTTTATACCTTTCCTTAACTTTGCCTTCATCCCTCCAAAAGGAGAGGCAGCTGCTTGTAAACTGTCCTACATGTGTGGGGTTAAAAAAGGTGGAAAGGTTTCGCGCAAGTTGTTAGGTTGTAATAGGAAATTCGATGGATGAACTCTGGGTTTAAGCTCTGGTCATGTTTAAACATGTGGATGATGGATGAACTCTGGGTTTAAGCTCTGGTCATGTTTAAACATCTGGCAATAAAAAACTGCGCATGAAAATCAAACGGAACAAATCAACCAAAACCGTTATGATGGAGCTACGTGCTGTCCGTTCATAGTTGCTGGTCCATCATTTGTCTCATCTGTTCCTTTTTCAGGATTGTCGTCCGACTGCGTCGCCGCACGCTTCCTCCTCCTGATCCTCGTGACTCTGTCCTCCTCACGTCTGCGGCTGAGCGCGTTTTGTTTCCCTGCGATGTTCAAACGAAGAAACAAATTACTGACGTCGACGTCTCGTAGTTTTTAGTCTGTGGGCCAGTTTTAGCCGAATTTTTCTTTGTTTTTCTCCCTCTGGTTGTTGAGTAAATATATTGTAGTATTTCATTAATTCATCCTAATTCGCCTGGCGCTTTTTTTCGTTCTCATTTTGCTTCTTCGTTTGAGTAATCTGATCTGTGTGACCGTATCATTCAAAATAATCTCAGCAGTAGTTTAAAATCAAAATTTCTTCCCTTAATTGAACTTAATTGTTTGATGTGCATTATGATTTGCATGTTTTTTAAAAATAAAAAAAATAGACTCCTGTGGCATTCCTGTGAAAAGTTTGGGCTGAGATACTTAAATTGGATTACCGTTAACTGTAACGTGGTCGGTATTTTAAATCGCTGTCATTGTCAGGCAACCCACGTAAAAGGGACTTCTGCTGCAAATTTTCGTAACATCACCAAACCTTCTGTTTTGAGAAGATTCTTTCGTCTCCACTAACTTTCTTGGTTTTTGTAACAAGTTTTTCCAATCTCGTCATGCTTAAAGACAGAATCACGTAGCTTTCATCTCTCGGCATCGAACCACCAAACTTGTCCCTCTTGGTCCTAACTTTTTTAATAATTCTTCATCAAACCTCAGATTGAATAAACTTAAAGAAAATTGAATCCCTCAGACTAGTGTACTTTAATATGGTGGAAGGGGTAACTTTGAGGACTGCTGAAGGCCTACACATTAAACAGGTAAGTGAAGGAATTATGCAATATACGACTGTTTTAATTATCTTTTGAATGGACATTTACTTGTTAAGAATCTTTGCCAGTATACACAAACATACTTAATACTTAACTTTTCACTTATGGCTTTTAAGTTGCTGATAATGGTAATGCTCCATTTTCAATGTATTGCTGGATTGGACTAACACCAGCTCAAATATAGCAAAACAAAGGTTTTGGTTAGCTGTTTGTGAAAATGAGGCTAATTCAGTTCTAGGTATTGGAGAAAAGAAAAAAAATCTTGGAGGGCCTAGAGAAATCCTCATAAAAATAACACAGAATATTTCATATTTACCTTTTTTTTAAATAGATACAATTTGTTCATACGCAAGTGTAAAAAGTATATACGTAACTCAGTGGCTGGCATTACATAGATTTGATAGAAAGGTTTTTCCTATTCAATTGCTGCTTTTGTATACTGACTTGCACGAATAAATTGTTTTGAAAACTATGCAATGGATTTCTTGTCTAGTTTGTTTTATTACTACAGTGTAATACCAGAAAATGTTTTCCCCTGAGAAAACCTTACTATTTATTACATTAACCCCTTGTATTTTGTGAGTATCACAGAAATGTTACAATTGAATCTCAGAAAGTTATCAAGGTCAATAGGTGTGTTTTGTATTTTAAAAAAATACCCAGATTCTCTAATGTTTGAAAAAATAACCTTATTGTTGGTGGGATTATGTCCATCATGACTTGTTTGAAACAAAGTTATATATCTTTTCTTTGAGTTATGCCTCAGCTTGTATTTGTAAAATTCTAAACCACACTTGTCAGATTTAAGGAGTCATAAGTATTTCCCTTATATATGACTGCTTTAATTTGGAAAATGACAGACATGACCAGGTGCTGAGTATCTGTTCTGATGATATTCTGCATTTTCATCTTCAATGAGAAAATAAGTGTGCTACCATGTTGAACATCTGAAAAGGTGTGTTGGACCAAGTGTTTTGATCCAACACACCTTTTCAGTGCTTTTTTCATCTCCACATTATATTTTCGCCATAACTGATACAGATAAATCTTGATCTCATCTGTGAATAACAACATTTCACCAACAGTTCCTGCAGCTGATTGATTTTAGGAAATATAGTCTTGGCATCTTTTTTTGCGGCTAACTTGTGGTTTTAATGTATAATCTGTATTTCTCTTAATTAAATATTCTACTTCAAATGGTCTATGACACAGACACCACGCTACATCCTGAAGACTCTTCCGGGGAGTTGAAGGATTTCTTTAAATTTAGACGATTATTCCATCAACAGCTGTGGAAATCATCCATGGCCTGCATGTCCTTTTGTTTTTAGTTACATAAATAATGTATACTGAAGTTAATCATTTATTTTGTTTATCTGATGTTTGTTTCCACACCATCTCATAACTGACAGACCAGTTCTCTGTACTCAGCCCCTTATGCATCATAAATACAGCTTACAAAGGCACAATCAAAGTATTTTGACAGATTACAGGACTCAGACTTGTTTTGGAAATCTGAGGTATACATTGTGCAGAGGAACAGTGTTTTTTGTGATTTTTAATAAAACACAGACAGACAGACAGACAGACAGACAGACAGACAGACAGACAGACA